TTGATATCTTCCTTACAAATCGTTTTTTACCTGAGAAAATTTTTCGCTTGTATACGAATTTTTCCCCTAAATGACTGTTGAAAAATTACTGAAGAAGTAATTTAAGATGGCAGAAAGTAATTTTTTTTTATTTAGGGAGGCACTTTGATTGAAATTAATAACGGTATTATGCATCTGGAAATACCACAAGTTCCGCCAGAAAATGTTGAGGAATTTTGCTCTTTACGAACATTTAAGTAAGTTAATGTTTTAATGACATTAATTACTTTGCGGCACCAAAAAGTATATGTTGGATGAAGTTTGAGTGTGTTCGACTTAAGTGTTTCAACAACAACATCTTTGGAACCACTACCTTCTTCTGTTAAAAATAATCTTTTATTTTTCTGTTAATGGAGTACACTAAATAACTTTATGAAAAAACTGTCAGATAGATTTGCAAGCAGTATTAAAAATAAGTTTTCCAAGGAGATTTTCACTGTTTTCAATAATCAATGAATAAAAAACTGCAGTAAAACAGATTCAAATAATCTTCTCAGATAATTGTAAAAAATACGTCAGTGATTTTTTACGATTGTTTTTTTCCTCGCAAAAGTCTTTTATCTGATTAATTTTATTATATTTGAAAAATGAGGTTATTCTGCAGTCACTAACTAAAAAGTCTTTTTTAGCAATCAGCTTTCGGTTTTTAGTGTTTATTTGTAAGTACCGCAGGTTATACGTAACTGAAAAGATACTATAATAAATATAAGAAATGCTAAAGGAAGGACTTCGTTAAATATTAAGTTGCATATGACATAGTAAAGAGTAGAGCTGAAACAGCCTGTAATTTCAAAGAATTTTAAGTTTTTGGTAGTTTGCTGATGTTAATTCTGAGAAAAAATTACTCTTTCAAAGGTGATTAATTATATCTTACCGAGTAGACTGAAGAACGAAGCTGGTGACTTGCAGTTAGTTCTGTAAGTGCTATTAGACGACTTTTGTAGTGTTTCATAAGCAAACTGTAGTTCAAAATTCTAAATAGCTTCCTTTCAGGGTATGACGAATAACAGTTTTTTTGCCACTTTTCTTATAATGCGTTATCGTTCTCTCTATCTTCTTGTAATAATCTTTAACTTTCATTTAAGGCAGTATACTATTTTATTGAGCTTTTTTTTCGTGATAGGAGAACCAAAGTGTTCGAAAAAACTTTTGACTTTGCTCTAGCGAGAAAGGCTAAAAGGACAGAAGCTGTTTGCAACTAATTAAATAAATCTGCGTTTCAGCAAAAATGTGATCTTTTGATATTTTGAAATCGCATGACTCTTGCTTCATACATTTTGAATTTTTCGTGTAGTATCTTTTACTTTCTCGATACATTATTTTATTGACATTCCATATCTCAGTTTTAGCAACTCACATCACTTGATTTTGCTCTTTTTGCACTAAATACTGTAGCGCTGTAATGTAGTGAACCTAAAATAAATGCATTCAGATACGACCAAATTGAAGTACCGTATCAAAGCGCTATTTCAAACACAGTGAAACTGTTTGAACAAATTTTACAGAAAATCACAGAGCTCTTAATTAAAAAAAGTAATTTTATAAAGCCTGCTGAAATAATGAAAGACTAGAAAGAGCCGCCTTTGAAACATCTGTAAGAAGACTTATTTATTTGTTTTGCACAGTACAAATTGTTTGTTTGTAACATTTATTATAGTCCATTCCAAATAAAGTTCTAACATTCTAGAATGTTCAATACGAATAACATATGGGTTAATCTAAAAAGTGTTAAAGCCAGGCTTACTGATATGAAAATGGAAATTATTGTTAACAAAAAGGTAGCCATTTCTCATCAATACGAAAATGAAATAGCGCTTATTACAATAAATTTTCCTGAATTCAAGAAATTTTTCGCACTATTTATTCGTTAACAAACAACCAAGCCTTATTGCAGTTTATCACTTTTACTTTTCTAAGTGTACATAGATTATTCTGCTTAAATCGCATCAATTTTTGTTTAGCACGAGATGATTTTATAGAAGCTTCGCAATGGAAGACCAGTAATCCAATTGGAAACTTCTGTTGGCGGTGCAATACGCAACTTTCAAAACGTTTTCAGTAAGTTACTGCACCTAAACAATTGACAGAAAATAATTTTGATCAGTTTTTAATTTACTTACATGTTTGATGAGCACCACTCACTTGTACTGCCAAAAACTTTATTGGATCAGATTTTAATATTTTGTAAACACTCATTGAAAAAGCAGATCTAACATGATTGTGAAAAACGAAAGCATTAAGTGAAAATACTGCTAATAAATTTTTAAAACAATTTTCAGTATTTTGTAAACACTCATTGAAAAAGCAGATCCATGCTGTGCGGAAAGTTTTTGGCTCATCTGTGAAGCAAATTTTTCTTTATTGTTTACGAGGGCATTATGTTGAGGCAAAGAAGCGAGGGATAAAACAAGGATAACAAATCTAAATTAGCTTTTCCCACCAGGTTTTGTAGGGAGACTACTTGATCGGAAAACTAATCAAAGTTAACCTTAGAGTAACTTGAGGATGTGTATTTCGGCAGAATTTGGACAGGAAATCAGCAATTTATTTGAATAAAACTTCTAAATTACATTTGCTGCTTTGTACGATTTGCGATTTGATTTGCGGTTACATTCGTAAAAATCACTGTCGTTAAAACGAAAGTATGATGACCTAAACAACAGTGGGGTCTTAACAAATCGGGTAACTGAAGTGGGGGAAAAAACAAATTGTTTTCATTATTTTGCCATTCATAAGGCCAACGTATAGAAAGTTTTTAAAGTAATATAATTTTCGATTTAAAGATTAAATTCAGAGCATCTGCTTTTTCACTGATCTTTGGTCAGTAAATGTTATTCAAGTGTTCTAATGATTATAGGTATTAAAGTACCACGTGCAAGATTTTTGCCAGTTAAAAAAACTCAAGATCTTTTGGCACTGATGAGTGATATCTATGAGATGGATGACTGCTGCAATATACGATTGCGGATTAATCGGCCAATTGTTCATCAGCCGATAATCAAACTCTCAAAACACTTTGATTCCATGGAACAGTTTTGGAAACGTTTTGCAACTATACCACAGATGTCAGATTTGGTTCGACTTCGGGTAGACGGTGATGTTTATTTCGGGAAAGATGTGATTTTAAAGGTTACACTGATATATTGAAAAACGAATTTTTCTTTAAATTTTTTATTACTGCTTCTCGTTTCTATCTTTTGGCAGAAAAAAAAAGACTTTAAAATTAGCTACATTTTGGTCTGCCAGTGATCTATGAAATTCACTGCAACAAAAGCATTAAAACATTAGATAGCATTTCCTACTTTTTTTCTTTTCTTTTTTGTTCTGCCTTTATTCAGTCTGATTTTTAGGGCGATGTTATAATAGTGGCCGATGAGGGTAATCGTTTGGAAATTCCAAGTAAATGTTTTATTGAAAATAAAGTGGTGACAGGATGTTTGCGTCTGAAG